AAACATCCATCCATCCATCCATCCATCCACCATCCATCCATCCATCCACCCACCCATCCATGAATCTACCCATCCCTGCATCCATGCATCCATGCATCCATCCACCCACCCATCCATCCATCCATTCATCCATGCATCTATCCATCCATTCATCCACCCATCCCTATTTGCATATCTATCCATTGATCATCTATCCTTCCATCTATTTTCTATCTACTGTTGTATTGCTATACAGTCAGCTCCAATAAGAATAACAACAGATCAACTACTGCAATGCAAAGGTCAGAAATGCCCCAGAATTTACCATTAAACCACTCCATCAGTCTCAACATTAATAGTTCTTCACCACCTCGAACTTCCCAGCCCTCGTTTTGGGGATTGGCAATTTGCCAGAAGGTCCCTAGGAGCTCACACAGCTGTGGAGGACACAGCTGTCCCAGGAGAGTTAAGGAAAAAAGGTCAGAGAGTTAGAGATTCAGACTTCACTGTGGGATTTCCAGGCACCGCCCACATCCCCAGAGGAAGGAGGGTTGGCCACCCAAGCCATGCCTTTTTAGCAGGGTTGAGGCAGCTGAATGACACCAACTGTGCTGTCCCCAGTGAATGAAAGGGGAGTGATGGTATTCCTAAAGACAGTGGTCCAGGGAAGCTGCACTGGAAGCGACAGACCCACTACAATGCACGACGCATCCATCACTATTTGTGTATTTCTCTATTCACTCATCTATCCTTTCACGATTTTCCATCTTCTATTGAAAAATCCACTGCGAGCCACTGATGAGTTGGTTCTGACATGACAGCACATAAGAACGTTCATTTACATGGACAAACTTCACCTGATGGACTACACAGTAATCAGAAAGACAATGGCCATGGAAAGACACTTTGGAGAAGTTCAATCCCAGCACTCAAAAGTCAGCCAGGTTACTATGTAACAGCCTTGTCATCCTCACCCAGAAGTCAAAGGCTGCGCCACGTGATGAGAACCAAGCTGATGTCCATCGTAGGTGAAAGGGCACGTGAAGGTGTGATACCATTCAGGTCAGGCAGGGTTACAGCCATGGAAGGGCGTGGTACCTGGCCATCAGGAACTGCCTAATCACCTCTAAAAAACAAGGCTGCTAAGAAAGATTCCAGAGGCGGGGGATTATTTTTAAAAAGAGACAGATTCTGAGTGATAGCCATTTGTGAAGTGATTGATGCCAGTGTCTGGGGGAAACTCCTTAGCTGATGGTAAAGCAAACACCTTGAGGAAGGAGAAAGGCAGGAAGGTGTCCTGTAAGCCTCGATTCCATGCGGTCAAGCCCGGTGAAATAAATGCATTTCCGTTTTGAGAGATTAAATGCATCTCCCTGTGACGCTGGTTTTCTAGAAGTACTTCATCATCTAAGGTCTTCAGTGGACCTGGCCCCGGGGCTCACCTTTGTGCACGTGCTGGGCACGTGCCTTGCTCTGCTGGACTGGTCGGGGCAGCGCGACGGTAGCTGAGGGGGTCGCCAGCTGAGCTGACGGGGTCTCACCTGCCATCAGCACCGTGCCGGGTGCTCCACCAGTGGAGACACGCAGGAAACCACGTATTCTCTGCTTTCAGCCAGGATCCATCTGGCATGAACAAGGACGTCCCTGCGGCCACAGCCTCTTCTGAACCATGCTCAAACGTCTGGCAGTTCTCTCTGTACTGTTCTGGCCACTTCTTGATGGTTTCAGCAACATTTTGCTTCCATCTTGATATTAATGATACTGTTTGGTAACTTCCACATTCTGTTGGGTCACCTTTCCCAGGAATGAGAACACTGACCTCTTTCAGCTAGGCAGCCATTCTCCAAATTTCCTGGCACAGCCTGCATCTGTCATCTGAAACATTTCAAACAGTGCTGAGGATTGCTGGGGCCTTAGTTTCTGCCAGTGCCTCAGTGCAGCGTGAATGTCGTCCTTAGTTATCACTGGCTCTTGATGACATGGCACTTCCTGAAATATTTCCATGTCAGCCAACTCTTTCTGTATTGTGTATTCCTTCCACCTCTTTTTGATGCTTCCTGGATCACCAGGATTTCCCCATAGAATCTCTGTTATTATAACTCAAGGTTCAAATTTCTTTTTCAGTCCCTTCAGCTTGAGAAGTGCTGAGCGAGTTCTTCCCTTTCACTCTCCATGAGGTCTCTGCACACTGCATTAGCGTAGCTGGCTCTGTCTTCTTGAATGCCCTTCGAAATCTGTCCAGCTCTTTTATTTGGGCATCTCTTATCTTTGTCTGGCTTCTCAATTATCCAGTGCGATTTCTACGGTCTCTTGTTATTGTGGGTTTTTCTTTCTCCTCTGTAATTTCAGGGACCATTTGCTCCACTCATTTTGACTGACTGCCAGCCTGGGCTCTGCCTCTAGAACTACTTCTGTTCATGTTCCTCTAAGGCTCATCAGGTTTTCAGAGACTTGCTATTTCAGAAGTGAAGGCCAAGCCTTCTTCCTAGCCCGTCTTACTCTGGGAGCTCCACTAAAACCTGTCAACGCTGAGTGACATCTCCGGCATTTGAAATACCAGTGCTACAGCTTTCAACATCACAACTACTCACCTGAACAGCAAACTGACAGACAAGTGCCTTTAAATTAAAACACTGATAAACAAGCAAGAATACAGAAATCCAAATTAATGGGAGTCCTTAAAAGATATCATGGCTCCTTAGAGGCCACAAGGGCACCTTAGAAGACACTGGGGCTCTTAGTAGTCACCAGGGCTCCAAGAACCCATCAGGGACCCTAGGGGACACTACGGCTCCTTAGAAGACACAGGGGTTCCTTGGGACACACGCGGGCTCCTTGAGATTCCTTTAAACCTTCCCAAACTGAAAAGGGAATTCCGGTTTCTCAGTGGTACAGAGTTGAACTGTCAGCCTAAAGGCACACAGTTCAAATCTACCAGCTGCTCTGTGAGAGAACGCTGGGCAGTCTTCTTCCGTGTGATTTAGCGTCTGTGAAAGCCCAGCAGAAGGTCTACTATGAATCCTTAGTTCCAATTTGATGGTAATCAACAGTCAGAATAAACTGAGAAGGCCAAGGAGATATCCTTTGGATACTTTTTGGTACTTGGACAACATTGGGTAAGAACACTGTGTGTGCGCAGCGGCCGTGGGCACTTTGTGGTCTTGAGCCAAGGAAAGTGTCTAATACTCCCGAGCCTCTGAATCAACATCAAGAGTCCTCTCTCCACATCCTCTCTGTTAAACAAAACAAGGTAAGATCTTCGTGTTGAAGTGACACATGGACCCTAGTGATTTCTGCACATCCTGACTATGTGGTCTACTTGGACAACTAATATCTTTCAACAAACTAATATTTCAAAAGTGATGATCTCAAAACAGCAAGATAAGCATTTGTCCAAGGATACAGCTGAAAACGCAGTAAGGGGCAGGACAGAAAGAGGAAAAGGAAGAAACAGCATGGAGCACCAGTGGGAAGAGGGTGACCTGAGGGCACAGCGGAAGCCAGAAAACAGAACGTGTGCCCGCTGAGGGGGACAGTAGTCCACTCTGTAAATGTCACTCAAAGCACAATCCATGCTCACCAGGATCAAATAAACTGCCAAGAGAAAAGGCTTACCAAATTATTAAAACGGCATTTTCACTAGTGATCCTTACATTGTAATTAAAAGGTGAGGGGTTCCAATCCAGCTGCTGAAAGATGGTCAATCTCCTTGGTAAAGACCCGCAGCCTTGAAAGGCCTTGGAGGGTCCCTGAAAGATGGAATGCCTCTCCAGCAGTGGATGGGACATTCATAAACTCGAAGAGTTGTATTATTTTAGAATAAAAGTACTTTTAAATAGCATTTGTAAAAACAAAATGTATATTCTATTACAGAGTGAGCAAGTAAAAACATCTTGAGGTTTTTGACATGTTTCTTGTAATATTTAAACAACCAAAACTTGTTTTAATTACGGTCTACAGGTGGACAGTTGGTGAAGGATAGGAAAACCCTTGACCAGGTGGATTGACATGGTGACTGCTGCAATGGCCTTCTGTGTGTCAGGAAGGATGAGGATAGGTCAGGACAGAACAGGGTTTAGATCTTTTGTTGAAAGGATTGCTATGAGGCGTACTCGACGGCACCTAACAACATCGGAGATCAACTTAGAAAAGACCTGTCCCACAGGGTCTGCAAGGCGGGGAAATGTCCTTCTTAAGACCCTCCACCGGATTTCAGCCAGTCCGCTTTCAGTGAACGGCTGGCTGGATGCACGGCACAGCACAAGCTGGGCCTCAGCGGCACGCTGCAATTACACCCTCATTATGCAGACAGGGAGCTGGTGGCGCAGTGGGCAGGGGGCGGTGCTGGGGACTCCCATGTGGTAACCCTCTGACAGCTCTGACAGTGGCTCCAAGAGGAAATTCTCAAAAGCGCCTGGTTGGCCTGATATTCTGGTGGTTTCGTTGTCCAGAACATTCTGACTCTTATGACCCCAAGTGCTGAGGGGACTGTCCCATCAGGTTTCCCAGGCTCCTCGGGGGTCATGGGGCCAGGCTTTCCTCCAATGGGGTGGCTGGTGGGTTTGACCCTCTGGCCTTGTGGTTGGCAGCTAAATGCTTATCTGCTGCACCACCAGGGCTCCTTCTTAATCTCTTGGATATCAGCTTCCTTCTCTGAACTACAGTTACACAGGAGCTCTGGGGGCAAAGTCTGTGGGAAGGTGTCATGCTAAGCCCAGGTAGCACCCTATCCAGCAGTTCAAACTGCCCAGCAGCTCCATGGGGGAGGTGGACAAGGCCCTCCCTGGGAAGGTCCCGCCTCTGAAAGCCCTGGAGGCTCAGCTCCTTCCAGCTCCACAGCAGGGAAGGAGGTTGTCTAAGGCCTGTTCTCTCTCTGTCTCTGTCTCACTCAAATGATTATGCTAAGAAAGGAACTGGCTCAGCTCTTGAGCTGCTCCAGAAGGTGTGACCACGCCGCTGCTTCCGTCATGCTGAGACTCAGTAAGTTAGCACATCACCGAAACGTGAACACACGACCTTACCTGGCCTGCGGTAAGCCGTAGCTGGTCCCGACTCCAACTCGCGGCAAGCTGTATACAACTTTCTTCACTGTTGCTTGATCCGGGAAATTAAACATGACCGAGGCTGCAGTGGAAAGAAGAACAGCGCTTGCAAAGCCACGAGAGCTAATCGGGAGTCTCAACAACCATCCTCGGGCTCCCACCCTCGTTTCTTTAAAGCACATCATCGTGCGCGTCAGCTTCCGGCCCAACCCCGGCACCTGCCATCTTTGGTATCAGACGTTTTGCATTTAAAAATGAGTCTTAATAAAAAGCCAGCTCCCCAGCGAGCTGGTGCATTGACCGTGTCCCTGGGGCAGCAAGTGAGGCTAGAACGGAGCTGGCCGTGAGGGAAGGCCAGGGACGCGCTGGCCACGCAGCATTTGCAGGGGCCTAGCAGCTATGTTGGAGGGAGCCCTCCCTTTGGGCTCTGGTGTGGTCATCGTCCTTTCCCCAGAACCATTTTTACACCATGACCAGGTCTCTGGGACGTAAACCTGTCGGTGAGGAGGACAAGTGGACAGCTTTCTCCAAGGGAAATGCGGACCCTGCACCCACACGCTCATTTTCCTTCTTTGCACTCTACTTCCATGAGGGCACGGCAAAGGGGACCACGCAGAGCGGACAAGCACGGCCCTGGCGTGGCCTGTCCACAGCATGAACACATTTCATTCACACGTCTGTGAGTGGACTTACTTCGGTTGGCCATGAACACCTCGAGGGCAGTGTTCTGTAGGAGATAACGTCTAGAAAAGACAGCTCGGATTTCGCTGAACATCCATTTCCCGTGAAGTCCCTCCGTGTAGGCGAGAACCTGGAATAAATGACACAGCCTGGTCAGCAGGACGGTGGGACTGACACGCACTTGGACAGCTTCAGAGAGCAGTGTTGTTACTGTTGTTATGTGTGGTCGAGTC